GTTCTTATATCTTAAATTAACCCATTTTTATAAATCTATACCTTGCCACGTGGCTGGTGGCTTACCGGCGTCTTTACATGCTGCTTATCCTGGCAGTGGCTGCAGTGTCTCTCCCCACTTCTTCCTGTTTCTCCAAATCTCCTCTCTCCTTGTCCCGCCTATACTTCCTGTCTGGTCACTGGCCATCAGTGTTTTATTTATATAGAGTGATATCTACAGCACACAGATGGCCTGAAACAGCGTGCATACTATTGTGGCAGTTAATGGAATAAGCTTCAAAATGCCACCCAGGTTTGCCACTCATCCATTCTTAGTTCTGAAATTTGGAGAGATTAACATTTGGGGGAACAGCCAGATCCTCCCTCTTTCTAGCCCCTCACTTAGTCTCAAAGAGTGATTTAAAACTAAGCCATGCAAAAAGGAACCAGAACCCTTTCTTCAATAGCTGGAGAATGGGTATTCTCAAGTAACATCATTCAGCACACACATAGTTAAACACTTTACCTTGTGAGTTCTTCCCGAAGGTGTCCAGGGTCCACTGGGAAAAATTTCACCATAAATTTGAAAACAACCTCCTTAGGATCTTAAAACACAATATCTCCATAAGTTTTTTTAAATATTCATTACAACAGTTAAGATCACACACACACACACACACACACACACACACACACACACACACACACACACACACACGCACAGTGTCCTGCTTCCCTCCTCTCTTCATTACCCTTTCCCATGACTTATTTTACATTTCAGTTTTTCACATGTATCCGTTCCCATTTCTGGATTGTGACCCTATGTGAATAGCAACTGAGAAAGTCCTCCAACTCATCCCCCTTTCACACCCTTTCTCCCTTTGGGTTTCTTTTGTAAAGATATGTCCATTGAAGGCCTACTCTGTCCTTTCTTAAGAAGTGAGTCGTTCAGAAAGACTTTTTACAACTCACTATCTGTGAATGTTCAATCCCGCCTGAGGAAAGGGCCCAGGTTCAGCTCAAGCACATGAATGAATGTCTTAAGGATTTCATAAAAGGATTGAGAAACAGGGTGGACCAATGTTTCTATCAATCTTAAAATATACCACAGAGAAACCACATCTACATATTTTCACACCTACTTGCATTTGAAAATGAGAAACTTGAGGCTGGGGGTGGAGTTCACTGATAGGTTACTTTGCTAGCATGTACAAGGTCCAGGGTTCCATCCCCAGTACCAGAAAAAAAGAATAAAGTTTGTTAGATCAAAAGTAGCATACACATAAGTAGCAACAGTGTCATCCATTCAATATATCTTTTCTGGGTGCTCTCCATGGGCAGGATATTATTCTAAGCAGATACTGTGGAAATGTAAAGATACTCAAGTGCTCCCAGTCTCATTGGAGAGACACATAATTAAACGGACTAATTTGAGTACCACACAGCCTAGGTTGAGGAAGCCTTCCTAGAGGAGCTGACATCTAAGTAGGTTAACAGGCAGGAACTGAAATGGTTAGTGGCGGGGACAAAACACTGTAGCATCCAGAGCTTTGTGCACCATGTTAATAAGGCTGAACTTTAGAGGTAATTAGGGAGCCGTGGAAGTGTTTTAAGCAGGAGGGAGATGTGGTCAGATAGATCTCAATCGATCCCTTGGAGAGTAATATAGGTACTTAATTGGAGAAAATCAGTTCAGAAGCTACCGGACATTGTGTGACATAATCACAGAATCTGGGGAAGCAGAGTCACAAGTTGCATCAATATGTGAAGAGTGGAGAGGACCAAGGAACCAGGAAGAGAGACTGAAGCAAGTTTTCCCAAAGTGTTAAGACCCACTTGCAAAAAAAAAAAAAAAATGCCTGGGGTATTAGCTAAATGGGCATGCCCCCAGACTCTTGTCCCATGAATGAGGTCCAGTGTGAGATACAGGAATCATTCAAACATAAACTGGAGCAAATGGCAAAGCTTGTGATGGCGTGAAAGGAAAGTCTTCAGACAGATGTTGAACATTATCACAGATTGATGCTAATGGTGCTTGAAGATCCCCAGGGCCCAGAGTGAGCTCTACTCCTACATGCAGTCCGCAGGTGGCATAATTACCAGAACTCTTCAGATGCACTCCAAGACCCAGTAGCATGAGCTTCTTCATCTCAGACAAAATTAAGACAATTTTTCTCTATTGCTAAACTCACTGAACAGATGAGGGCTGATGTAATCTAAGTCCCCCTTCCCCATTTTAGTAAGGTGAGGCAATGCATGGCGCTAGAGGGGGATTTTTCAAGCGTAAACTGAGGACTACATTCCTTGAGTGATCTTCCATACTTACTTTTTACTTGCTTTGTTATGGGCTTCAGAAGTTCCAACCAAACCTGTAACAGCATCAGTGGAACAATTGGTAGAACACAATGGCAGTGAGCACAACTTTTTTCTTTCTTTTTTTGTACCAGATAAAGGTCAACATCAAATGAACAAATGCTGGGACTGTTTAGATTCCTAAAATCACGTGGACACAAACAGCCCGGGCAATGAGATGATGTACCTTCAACCATTCTCAGTCAGCCCCCTCATAGCTTTCCAATAACACTGAACACTGTTGATCTATGACCTCGGTATTGTTGACGTTCCAATCACTGCCTTGATAGGATGGCTACAAAGACTCATAAAGGCATTTGGCTTCACATTTGAGTCCTACATTCCCCCTACCCTTACCCTTGCCAATGCCCACTTAGTAATAAGACTTTCTGGGAAGGTGCCAGATTATAGATATGCCAAGGCAAGATGTAGCAGAAGAACTTTCTGAAAGGTAGGGCCTCAGAAACAGGGAGAGAAATCTCCCTAAACAGTCATGAGGTCAGGAGTCTTAATTCTGGGGGTTAAGGTCCAACCATTCAAAATAGATAAAGCTGTGATAGCTGGTCAAAGAGTAACAGAAAAGGATAATGAGGCGGAAGAATTTGTTTGGCAAACCAAGATAGCTTAATAAACAAAGCAGTGGGAGGGAAGAGAGTTTTAAATACAAGAATTTTGCAAGGTATAAACAGGTTTTGCATTTTTAATTTGGGATTGAGCCTTATGCACTTAGGTGCAAACTGCATTTTGAATCATTTCTAGACAAAAAGAACCCCATAATAAAACCCACTTACATTATTTCCAGAATGGCTGCAGAATTCTAATCCAAAATATTCCTTTTCAGAAAGATTGAGATGGCTGCAGCTCAGGTTAAAGAGTGCCTTTCCGGATGACTTTTGCTAAACAAAACAGATTATAGCACAGTTTGAATTCCTAGTACGTAACGCATGACAAAGGAAAGAAGCCCCACTGTTTAGAGAACCTGCACACCACCTAAAGATGTTGAGAGCTTTACAGATACAGACAAATCTACCTACCCATGCTTTTAGCCACATCCCTAAAAACTCCTCAGACTAATGACAAAGCCCTCTTGGAAGAGATAGCCTTGCACTTAACTATAGCTAGATCTGCACATTTATCCTTCACATAGAAATTCTTAATTCATTCATCGCAGGCAGCTTAAATGATTTCCCCCAAACTGACAGACGGTTTAATCAAGATGTAAATCGGACCCTGCCATGGCCCTACTTCACATCCTTCAGGGGCTCTCCTTCACTGCTGAGGCGGGCAGGGAGGCTGGCCGCTCGCTCTCCTCTCACTTTGCCTGCTTGCCTCTCCAACTGCATTTCCTCTCTCTGACACACTGCTCGCTCGCTCCTCATCTCAGCCTGCTCGCAGTTCCCCTGACATGTCAAGTCGCTTCATGCCTCTGTGCTTCTGCTCACGTCCTTCCTTCTCCACCGCCTGCCTGCCCTCCCCGTCTGTCTGCCATTGGTTTGGCTCAGATGTCATTACCCAAGAAGAGCTTTCCTGATGCTCTGTGCAGCAGGTTAAACCAAAGGTGGACCCTGAGTTCCCTATCCCCCTGGCCCAGCTCAAATAGGACACATCTGACCAGTCTTTCTTTTCGTTGTTACTCCCCACGTCAAGCTCAGAGCTTGATGTACAGTAGAGGCTCTTAAGTGGTTGTTGTTCTAACAGGAAGTTGACCAAATTCACCATAAGAGTTCTTTCAGTAAATTTCATTTTGCAGCTTTGACCACAAAATCTGCATACAGCATATTCTGTTTACATAAGCCACATACACTTTTCTTCATAAAGCTTACACATGCTCTGAGCACAAAGCGGTGCCTTTCTTCGGCTTCTCTGAGAACAAGCGCTTTGAAGAGGGCTCTGTGCAACTCTCAGTGTGGCTGTAATGGCCACCATTGCTGAACTCAAGAGTCACTGTTGCCGGGAAGATGGCGATGGGAAAACTGGACTCTGGCTGATCAGCACAAAAACATGCCCCTGAAAACCCCTAGTTAAAGCAAAGTCACCGGGTGCCCAGAGTGCTGAGAGAGAAGCCAGGTGCGGGTGCACAGAATGGAGCTGGAAGTCACTGAGCCATAGAATTAACAGCAACTATGAGAGGGCAGAGGTCACCCTAAGGCAGCGAGCGGCACACGGAACAGAGCCTACATCTGGGATTTAATAGCTTCCAGGAAGGCAGCCCACCTCCCTACCACTTCCCCCACTGACCGAAAACATGATCCTCTCCCCCTGCCTTTTCCTCCTTCAGTTACACTGCACAGAACTCCAATTTAAGCTTCATTTGGGTTAACCAGGGTCCTATTTTTAAACTCAAATAGGCCACAAAGGGCAAAAGAGATTGCACCCCCTCGCACCTGGACAGAAGGCTGCCAGGCTGACGGAAGACAAGTTTGATTTGATGTGGGAGATCATGTTGAAGCTACTGGCCAAGAGGAGGGAGGCAGGCCTGGAGCTGGAAGTGGGGGTGCAAAGGGCATGGGGGCTGTCTGGTGGGAGAGGAAAGTGCTGGCTAGGGGGATGGGCGTGGGGGTGTGCCTATGTGGCAACCTTGCCTCAGGCAAGTGCTGACACAGGCCATTCCAGACAGATGAAATCGCTCCTATTTTTAAAAGTCCTCCAGACAAGGAGCTGCCACGGGATTTTTATTATGAAGAAAAAAAAGAATTTCTAAAGAGAGCGGGATGACAGCAATACTTTTTCCAACACGATTTCTATCATGAGGACTAAATTCTGTCATAGACTCCAGTTTCTTTGCAAACAACTTTCAAAGCTTGAAATTCTCTCTCTCTCCCTCCCTCTCCCTCTCTCCTTTTCTCCCTCTCTCACTCTCCATTCCCCCTCCCTCTCTCTCTCCCTCTCAGTCCTCTCTCTTTCTTCCTCTCCATCCCCCCTCCCTCTCTCCCTCTCTCCCTTCATTCTTATTCTGATTTTCCCATCAGAACCTTTGCTCCCTATCAACACTACCATACTCTCTATGATTGTATGTATGTGTTTACTTAAATCCTTGTGTAGTCACAGAAACTACAAAGCCATCCATGGAAGGGTTTCAAACAAGGCTTTCCTTTTGCTCCCCTCCTTCAGCTCCCCTACCATGTTTATTACTATAACCCACCGATTCTGCCATCCCTGCCAATGTTGCCAAATGGTTCTTGGGGCCTTTGGCACTTTTGTAGTTGGAGTCTGGGTGCTCTTGTGGCTCAAGCACTCCACCCCCATCTTGGGACAGGCATTTTTTTTCCTCCTGGTGTGCGTTGAAATTGGCCAGCCTTGTGGAATGTAGTACATAATAGGTAGGATTTGGGTTCTGTCTCAACATGCAACCTTTCATTTTTTTTTCTACCGTTACGATCCAGTTCTTCAACATTTGTGTTCTGATTTTTTTCTCAGAATATCTGTTTATATACAACTTTTTTATCTTTTCCTTGAAGACTTCCGGTTTTCTGTATAATTGTCTGCTTGTGTTTAAGAGAGCGCATTATAACATTCTAATCAAGCTCCTTTGTAGATCTAAAGTCTCTGCCTTCAGTAGTCTCCTTACTTAAGAAACTGAGCTCCAATCCCAATTCTTGGCTTGGTCTCATCTCCCTCGAATAGCAGCAGAGCTCTGCCTGCCTTCTAAACAGAACTTTTAATTTGATGTAGCAGAGGCCAAACTTAGAGTTTCACACACTAGACAAGTGCTCTACCACTGGGCTACATCCCTGGTCCTCCTGTTATTTAACATCCAGTTTACGGGGTCATAACCACTGCACTGAGGTCTGGAGGCTCCAAACTCAGCATCTCATGGAGGCACCAATATTCCAAATGCTTAGTTCGAAAATCCAGGTTAGCCAACTTTCTTTTTACCTACAGTTGTCATAACCAGTTTGTTCAGATCCATCTGGATTGTAATCCTTCTCTGCTCATTTTCTGACTAAATGAATGGGAGCAAGGCTACAAGTCAGTGGATAGCTATGAGCCAGCTTGATAATCCACCTTAGCTGCTTTGTTTTTAGTGTGTGTGTGTGTGTGTGTGTGTGTGTGTGTGTGTGTGTGTGTGCGCGCGCACGTGATGTTTGTGTGTGAGAATACATATGCCACCGCACAGGTATGGAGATGAGAAAACAGCTTTTGGAGAGTTGGTTCTCTCTTGCCAACTTTACGGAGTTTCTGGGGCTGGAACTCAGGCTGCCAGGCTTGCATGGCGAGCATGTTCAACCACTGAGCCACCTCACTGTCCCACTAAGTCGCCACATTTGCTCTTCATCAGTTTTGACTTGGTGTTTGTTTGCTTGCTTGCTTGCTTGCTTGAGGAAACTGACTACCTATGTAGCCCAGGCAGGTCTTGAACTCACAGCCTTTCCTGTCTCACGCTCCAGAGGGCTGACTGAGATTATAGATGTGTGCCCCTGTACCAAACTTCATTCTTTACTTTTTCCAAATGTTAAATGAACTCTCCACCAATGAAAACTGGTAAGCATTTTGAAAAGAATATATCTACCAAGGGTCCAAGGGGAGTTACAAGCATGTGATGGGCACCCATCTTGCATAGGGAAATCAGCACGTCATGGTGGCTAGGTATGCAGGGTTTGCAGTCCACATACACCTAAGTCTAGTTCTGACTCTTCTCCCAGGAGAAGGGTTATTTTAGGCAGGCTGATTTGTCTATCCTGAGCTTCAGTTTCCCTCATTGGAAAATTGGATGGTCAAAAGCCAAACACAACGACCAGTTATTATATAAGTCCATTAATGTGAAATATCTAGACTCAGCAAATCCATAGAGACAAAAAAAACAAATTCAGGGTTTCCATGGCCTAGGGCCCATGAGCAATGAATGGCAATGACTCTTAATTTGTACCAAATTTCTTTTTGTGATTAAATGTCCTAGGATTAAATAGGGTTTGATGGTTGGGCAACATAGTGAACTATTGCAGACCATTTATTTGTATGCTTTAAATTTAGGAATTTCCTAGTATTTGAATTATAATCTTAACTTCAATATGAATTTTAGTGAGTAGCTCATGAAAATATTTTTCTGAAGTACTTAATATGGTACCTGTCTCAAAGAAGACAGCAGTAAGTGCTGACTATTTATCCAGTGACCACATAATTTATCAACCATACTTGGATACTTTTAAGGTTGACAGAGGCCACTAATAATAACTACAGTTACACAAGAGGCATAACCCAGGACTGTCTTGAACAAACCCTGGTGTGTGGTCACATACCTCTCAGCATTTGGACCGCTTACAAGATCCGTTTTCACAGAAGGAGTGTTTCTTTGTGTTATCAGAATCTGGAAGACTGGGGCTCACATTCATGATTAGTACGTTTCTCACAGTGGTAATTGAACAATTGATCTTTTGGTCACTACAGCCCTGTGCCTCCATTTCCATATGGAAAGCCTTTGATAAGAGAGCAGAGAAGTGTTTCACTGGTCTCACCCTTGTCCTCAACACTTCAAAGGTCCAGCTCGCCCCTCCTTTAGCATAGTCCTTCTCTTCTCTGCTTCTTTTGGTTTACTTGATCTTCATGCTGTCCATACGCTAAGCTTATTTCTGACCCCCTTGCCTTTGCCATTGCATACACCATTACCCCCCATGACCCTTTCTGCCTTCTCTTCAGTTCAGCACACATTGGTGAGACCCTACTCTGGACAAGGTGCTTTCCTGCTGCCCAGTGAGACTGATGTGAGCAACACACAGGCATTACTATGAAGGAACACCTAGACTGACTGACAGGCAATGTGGGCACGCTGATACTTAATCACAGCAGTGTGAAGGGCCAAGTGCCTTTGCACAGGAATGCATGAATGGCCATATGAGATCTCATTCAACGTACACCTACCTACCCCTAAATGGGATAGTAGGTAACACAAGGGACTTGC